TGTTTGCCTTCTATCAGGTCTTCGGATTCAGTAAAGCCGGCGTTGTCTTCGCTTCTCTCACGTCTACATGTCCTCATAGTAGGTCCGGGTCTCGGGCGAGAGGAGTATATGCAGAACTTTGCAAAGCTTGCCGTGAACATTGCCAAAGAACAGGGCATGTATCTTGTCCTTGATGCGGACGCTCTCTGGATGGTCGGCCAGGACCTCTCCGTCATCCGCGGCTATCGTCGTGCTGTTCTTACACCGAACGTAGTGGAGTTCAAGCGCTTGAGCGAGAACGTCGTAAGTTCTTGATTATAATCCCATTCACAGGCCGCGGATACTCACCCTCTTCCGTCCAGAAGATCGACCCAAGCATCCCCGCAGAAGAGCGCGCGATGCACGTATCGCGCGCACTTGGCGGAGTGACTGTTCTGGAGAAGGGTGCCAATGATATCATTTGCACCAACACGGGCAAAGCGAGCAAGGAGGAGGCGCAACTGAACAAGATATCCGAGGGCGAGAGCGCAGAAGAGCGCGTCGTGATCGACGTACCTGGCGGTCTGAAGCGCTGCGGGGGCCAGGGTGATATCCTAAGCGGAGCCGTCGGTACAATCATGGCATGGGGCAAGTGCTTCGAGGACGGAGCATTCGGGTGAGTGTCGCCTGAGCTTATAGAGATAACTATCACTGACTCCCAAATCATAGCGATGGTTCCGTTCCTCCTTCGCGCATACCACTCCTGGCTGCTGCCGCTGGATCCATGATCACTCGCACTGCATCTCGACGTGCATTTAGCAAGCAAGGACGCGGCGTCGTCACGCAGGATATGCTTCCTGAGATCGGCGGCGCTTTCGCAGAGATCTTCGGGGAGGGTGAGAAGGGCTGGGGTGCACCTGTAGACCAGAAGCTCTAGATAGCAAATGGAGAATTCGACGTCCACTGTATGATACAAGAACGATACTAGGTAGACTGCTTGCTTATGCTTATGTCCTGGTCAAGGTGTTGCCATTCCGGGGAGTCGAATCACGCGCGTCGCGTTAGCACCGCGTGATGTAAGTTCAATGTAACGCGACTGCCCTTGGGCGCTATCAAGTGCGCGTTTTACTCTCCACCATCACTTGCGGGTTCTGCCTATTCACTAGCAGCACTTCATGCATCATGGACGGCGGGGATTGGGATTACTATGGTATGTTTTACTCAGATATGCATGGTATCCACTCTTACCGTTTCAGACGAGGATGCGGATGGCTCCGAAGAGTACGAGTCAACATCCGAATCCGAGAGCTCGGAAGACGAAGAGGACGACCGCGGCGAAGGTCCGAGCGAGCTCGTTCAAGCAGCAGAGGCAGACGATGCGCGCGCGGAGGCTGCGATTGAGGGCGACTTTGACCGGCTGATCCAGAATATCCGCGAGGCAGGAGACGGTTCGAGCTCGGGGATGCTCAACAAGATGTGGGACATCAACCTGGAGGAACGCGAGGCGGAGTTCAGGGACGACCTGCGCGCAGCCTCGGGAGTGGGAAAGCTCAAGAAGAAGGTGCGTTACTGGCCTTTCTCCCCGTCGCCCATTCCCCTCATCACTTGTAACCCTGCAAATAGCGCGGACGGAGGGCAGGACCGGTGCTCTCGCAGGAGGTCCGCGCGCTCATCGGAGACGGCAACCAAGCATACATCGACGGGGACGAAACCAAGGCGATCCAGGTCATGCAAGAGGTCATCCGTATCGAGCCCCGCGCGCCGGAGCCGTGGAAGGTCCTCGCGCAGTGCTACGACAGCATGGGCGAGAGAAAGAAGGGGCTCCAGCTGCGTATCATGGCCGCGCACCTGCACCATGACCCGGACGAGTGGGCTGAGCTGGCGGAAAGGTCGAGAGAATTGCAGTACTATCAGCAGGCCCTGTACTGCTATGGCAAGATCTACCACCTCGACCCGACCAACGTGGACGCGCTCTGGGATCGCGCATCCCTCGCGAAGGAGGTTGGAGACCTGAAGATAGCTCGGTCGACTCTACTAGCGATGCTCAAGCGACTCCCATACGATCTCACCCTGCTGAATGAGATACGGCCCATCCTCATCGAACTCAACGACCTCGCGCTTTGTGCTCAGCTCTTCCAAACTGCATTCGAGCACTACATCGTTGAGTTTCCTACTGGTCGCGGCGTGGACCCAGACAATGGTGCAGAGGTTCCAGGAGGCGGGTTCATGCTCATGCAGATCCTTGTGCTCGCGGACCTGTACAACACGTTGGGCGAGTACGCGCGGGCGGTGGACACGATCAGGAAAGGCTGCCGGTGGCTACAAGGTCGTGCCGCACAGAAATTCTGGGACGCGTGTGAAGACGATAGGGAGTGGGACGTGCCCGGGATAGCCGTGGTCCGCGGCACCGACGGGGAGGTCCAGCCGGGCATGTACCCACTCGATGTGAATGCAAGACACCGTTTGGCCATTGCAAGGATCAAGGCTGGAGACATCGAGGAAGGGAAGGTCCGTGTATGCTACTGGCTGCTGTTCGTGTAGATGCTTACATGCGCATAGATGCACGCACAAGTAGTCCTTGCGCAGGATGTCGCCGAATACGCACCGCTGTTCTCAGAGATTGCGGACGCGTACTTTGATAGGGAAATGTACGCGGAGGCGGGGCACATCTACGAGATGCTGGGTGGCAACGAAGGGGTGGGTCGCTCCTTCTGCCGACAAACCGAGCCACACTGACGTGCAACCGGGGCAGACAAACAGCATATATGTCTTTTTGCAAGCTGCCGCATGCCGCCGCATGGTTGGAGATTTGAAGGAGGCAGTCGCGATTTACGAACAAGGTGTGTTAGTTTGTGGACTGCAGTCAAATCTGCTAACGAGCGGTCTCTAGTCATTCATGCTGACCCAACAAACAACGATGCGAAGATGAAGCTCGCAGAGATCTTTGAGATCCTCAACGAGCCTCGAAAAGCTCTCGACCTTGTCTTGCAGGGTATGGTCATCCCCTGCTTTGTGGCGCATACGCTAAGATGCTTCCTACTACAGTCATCGACTCCCGCAAACGCCGCAACGCACCACGTGATGGCACCGCGGACACAGGCGAGCCAGGTTCCGCCTCCCTCTTCGAAGAAGGAAAGGTCCGCACGCAGAAGGGCAAGGGGTCTTCCGCGAAGTCAAACAACCCGAACAAGCTCACCCCGGCGCAGCTGCGTGAGCTCGAGGCACAGAAGGAGCGCGAGGCGTCGCAGAGCTGGCGTCGTGTGCAGGAGTTGTGGCCGCGGATGCTTGCCAACGAAGAAGAGGCTGTTCGCGAGTGGCTCGTCGAGGCGGAGAAGCTGGTGGAGTCCTTCCGGGAGACAAGGGCGCTGTTCTTGACGAGTCGGGTGTGTATATGGTTTGGTGAGGTTGAGGACTGTCCGGGCTGACTTTTCGTAGCATCGTGGTTTCAGGGGGATGTTTCCCCGAAGCTCTAGGAAGCAGACATCAGAGGCGACGGAGGACAGCATGGCTTCTCGTCTGCAGCTGGAACTCGGTTAGTTCCTTCCCCTACGCCCACGGCTGCGTCGATTCTGATGTTTCGCTCTTCAGGCCGCGACGCTCTCTCAAGAAAGTCTGCTAAGTCTGAGAATGTGAACACCTTCCGTACGATCTCGTTCGAGGACTGGCTGCGCCTGTTCATGCACGTTGAGTTGTGTCATCCCACTCGCGATGTTCTGCGTGCTTACTCTGCGATCTTTGACAGTACACATTCCTCCTCACTCGTCGAGGACAGTATGAGCTTGCGAACGAGATTCTGCGGCACTTGCTGTACTCGAACGCGTATCAGTCACGTTCTTCGCAGGATTCCATTCGTCTTGGGCTGATCAGTGCGTGGGTACGATTCTCCTCGATGCGTGGCATGACTGATATGCTTCCTTAGCTTGCGCCATCCATGCAGACCAGTTCATGACGGTCGTCGAACAAGCCCGCAAGCTGATCAACGGCCATCAGTTCAACAACGAGCCACTCCGAGTGCTCATCTCGTCCCTGGGAAGCGGACTGCACGCCACCGACGCGTTCCTCGTTTCCACACTCTCCAAGCATCTTCTGCGAGAATGTCGGCTGGCGGATGCAGCTGTCAATGACCCAGGGACTCTGCGGTTCAACAATGCGCAGCGCCGGTGGAACTTTCCAGGAGCGTCTGGCAGACCTGAGGCTGACGACGAGGACGAGGACGTTGAGACACCTGCTGTAACGGAACTGGAGAAGTCCAAGCTGCCGACGAAGCCAAACCCGGTGAATGTCGCTGTGTATGGGCAGATCTTGCTCGCCGCGAGGAGTTACCAGAGCGCACTGTGTATGCCGCCATTGTTTCATGCGAGGGCGCGCGAGTTGCTGACGCTATCTCAGTCTATCTCCTACAGGCGTATGACAATGCTCGTGATGACGCCATGGTGTGCTTGTCCCTCGCCATCGCCTCTGTCGGACGCGCCATGCAACGACAGTCGGACAACAGACACCACCTCATCACCCAGGTGAGCGCACCCTAGCATGGGCCGCAGGGCAAGCTGATGGTCTTCTGGCAGGGAATGGCCTTCTTGACACGGTACCGCGAGCTGCGTGGAGAGACGGCAGCAGGGCTTGACGAGGTAGAGTACAACTTTGGTCGTGTCTTCCATCAACTTGGTGAGTCGCACGTCCGCAAGCATGACTATATGTCCTTGACATGTCTGTCTCTGCCATAGGGCTCCATTCGCTAGCGGTTCGCCACTATGAGCTGGTCCTGGAGGCAGCGGAGAAGAGAACGAAGATCGATCCGGAGGTAAGTATTCATCCATATATGTGTTGCTGCATGTGGATTCATGTCGATCACGCAGGACGTCGGGCTTGCGCGAGAGGCCGCCTACAATCTCTCCCTGATATATGTTACTACGGGGGCGACACCACTTGCCCAGGCTCTGTACCGTCGATGGCTCTCTTTGTAGGGTGTTTGATCTAAGTCTTGTCTTTCGTGATCGGCAAGTTTGTATCCGTAGTGTTCTATGTGTTTCAATTCATAAAAAGGGCCCAACCGGGAATTGAACCCGGGACCCCGTGCAATCTTATGGTCCTGAGTACCGGGTTGAAGCCACCCGAAGCACGTATCATACTACTAGACCATTGGGCCGTGACGAAGGGTCTTGCATAAAAAGACATAGCAGCATCGGTTTTTCCCCTTAACACGTATTGAATTCCGACTCTGCTGCGACTCCTCTGAGCCTTCGTCTGAAGCTGGATCCTTGTGCAACCCGACTTATTTTTCTCTTGCCATGGCCGGCTAAACCAGAATGAGAAGTTGAATTCAAACTTCGGTTTTCACGTCGTCCACGAGGTGTCAACACTTCAACCCATTTTGCAGACTATCAGTCTGAGCTGCTGGAACTAACGTGCATGTGGGACGCTTGGAGAACAGGTAGCCATCAAGAACAGTCAGAAAGGCAGAATGGTGCTCGGTGAGTCCCCTCGTATGGGAACACCTTCCATGGCGATAGACCACACCCCTGCACTTGAGTCATGACCTGCGTGCAGCCAGGAGACGACTGCGCCAAGTTCGTCATCACATCCAAGCCCATGCAGAAGGTCTTCTTCCACTCAAAGACACCTGGCATATCCCCTTTGAAACGGCTACCGACATGCACAGAAGCTTACGCCGTCATGTTAGACGTACGCCGATTGCGAAGGTAAGTAGCATCTGGAATATAACACCATGCCTGCGTGAAGTTGACCGTTCTCGTATGCAACCGGGCACATAGCTTGCTACCCAGAGCAGTTGCGAAGGGACATCTCCGCTACAAAATGACTCCAATGGGACAATGCTAGGTACGTTCTCTCATGGTCGCATTTTCACTGTGCCAGGTTAATCCGAACTTGGCGAAACTGACACTTTGCTGAAATAGGAGCGTGCAATCGTAGTATCTCAATCCCTCTGTCTTGGAAGTTGAGTGCTTAATGCGTGTTCGAAACGAACGTCATAGACACTCATCTTCCAAGCTGTAGATTCTCTCGTAGCGCCTCCAGGGTCTAATTCTGGCGGTATAGCTCACGAATGAATTGCTCGTGCAGTAGTACAAGACCACCGCGCATATACAACTGCATGCGGGATTTTCCCCTGCAGATGAGGCCTTGGTCGTGCCCTGGTCGCTGACTGTGACAATGCGCACGGAGTGACGTGACATAGGTCACATCCTACCGCGACTGGCTATGGGCAGTAGCTCAAGCGACACGAATGATGATTGCATCCCCAGTATCGTACTCGAAGCAGGAGGGCTCGAGCGGAGAACTATCGAAGAATCCATGACGAAGTGACTCACCTCTCGGTTCTGCTGCCGCAAACATCAAACCGCTTCTGCCTGCGGTCGCTCTTATCGTGTCCGGGGCTCGAGCTGCGAAGAAGACCTCGAAACATGTTGTGGACGTCCATGGGGATGCCGATGAAGAGGTGTGCGATGCTGCCAAGGAGAATCTCTGTCGCTGCAAGAGTACCGGTGGTCTTCGGCAACCACAGCCAGCCTAGTTAACCCGGGCGACAGTGCAGGGAACATCTGCGGGAGAGGCTCTAAGGATGAGTTCTGCTCACCACTAAGTAGTACTCACCTCTATTATACGATCACAGGCTTCCAACCCTGGCATGGGTACGCTTGTTCTCCGAGGTCGCGGGTGCAGTAGGTATTGTTCTCTCTGTCCGCTTTCCTGCCAGGCTACTACAAGGCACTGCGTCTTCATTCTTCACGATGCACGTACACCGCATAGTCGACCATGTCATCCGGAGGTCACTGAGCAAAGAACCGAGGACGTAAGGTCATTGTGCCGCAGCAAGATGGTCCGGGGTCACAATTAAGGTTTGGCGGCTCGCGCCTGTTCCCCGACGGATACCAGCGCAATTCCCCGCTGCGCGCAAACTTGCAGCGGGGATCTCGCGTCCTCTATCTGCCTCACCGGCTTCTTCGCCGCCCCATGAAATTTTCCTTGCCCATTTTTCTGCGGTGCAGAGGTCGTCTTCGTTCCTCCCACCGCCTTCACGCTTCCACAAGCAGAGCACCGCCCCCGTGCCCTCGTTGTGGTACCAATCGTACTGCCCCGTGTCAATACGCATGCCCCCTCGTCTTCGGCTTCCTGATCCCGCCTATCCCTCTTTCACGCTGGCAGGAATTGCTTTCATGACAGGCCAGTCGTCCGCCTACTGTCGCGTCCCCACCTACCGCGGGAGCCACTTGAGGCGCTTCCACCCCTACGGCCGCGTCGACCGACCTACACCATTCCTGGTGAGTGTACTGCCAGCGCGTTGTTGAACGCCGTGGCAGAACAGATGGCTCAACGCCTTGGGAAAGTCGATCGGCCTCGTGGACGCAGAGGAACAAATCGAGCCAAGCGTGGAACTGGGCGGTGTTGGAGCGGCGGTACGTGTCATCGCAGTGCTGCTGCGTATCTCACTGCGCCGGTGTTGTTGACGGGCTCTCGGGCCTGCTGCTCTGTCACAGGTGGTCGGCGTAGAAGATGCAGGTGCCACGGGCGCGGACGACGAACGCGTCAATCTGGAGCGTGCGATGTTTGGAGAGGCTGAGGGGCCGCAGCGACGCGCCTTCGTTGCGATGATTATCGTGCGAGCGGGTCTTCCGGACTCGCAAACTTATGGCTGATCTCTCACCTTGCCAGACCCTCGCGAACGCAGTGCACCGGGGCTTCAATAACGCCCGCGACAAACTCAACCCAACTGCCTAAATCATCTTTCCCCCAAGTTTCCGTCACCCTCGACTCCTCGAATTGTATAGCCATCGTCTTGCTTGCGTCTCTGTCGCCATTCTCCCACTCTCTCCCCCTAGAAAACCATCCAACAGTACGTCTTGCTTTTGATTGATGTCTCCTCGTGTACTTCTACTGTAGCATAGTCTTTTGCTCGTCATCCCTGTATATACCCCTCGGACTGTGGCCAATGTTGTGTTCTTGCTGTTCTCGCTGTCCTCCGTTCCTCCATCAAAATGAATCATTGTATTTCTTGGCACTGCCGCGCACTTTCCCGGCTCTTTGTCGCGTCCATAAATGGGGTGTGGGTCCGTATGTTCCATCGGCAAGAGTCGCGATCAATTGGCACCCCACCCGTCGCTTCCCGCGGCTACTACTATGAAACACCATGACGCTGAGGGACCGATCAGGACCAACCCCAGGCCTCGCAACCAATAGCTGGCGCACATGGTTGCTCGTCGGGATTGTGGTACCACATTAACCACTGAGCTTGATTCATATTACTAAGTAGATCCTGGTGGAGGAAGATCTCGACAGCGGGGAGATGACCTAACTTTCCCAACTTTAAGGAGCAGAGGCGGCATGACGGCATCTACTAGAATCTCGACAACTTTGACGTTCAGGGCAGGAGTCTTCAAGTTCCTGTTGCGGGCATTATATCCTCGAGGTACGACACTCTTGGTGTGTGAATATGTGGATCTGAGAGGACACACATGGTCATCACTGGGGCTCCTTGATCTATCCTACAACAACTCCTCGTCCGTAATAAAGATAGTCCTTCCAAACAAGAAGATGGGAATTATCTATCTAGACAGCCATGCCCGACGACTTGTCATTTTCCGCTTCCTCAGGCTTCGTCGAACCCCTCCAAGCCGAACCGAACTCATCGTCATGCTCACGCGTGCTTGAATGCTGAACGAATACGCGGAGCGCGGTGGGTGAGTCCTCCATGCCGTGTGTCGGCACGGCCGGGTTCACCACTGTGTTGCGGTTGTTGTGCGTGCGCGTGCCGAAGCTCTTGAAGGCGTTCGCCCAGTTCATGCTGGGCTCTCCAGAGGTGCCGCGCGGCGTGAAGCGGTTGCGCCGCCGGAGACCGACCCGGAAGATGACGATGGAGAAGATGATGCCGCACATGGGCGTGCCCTGGAAGGGATAGATCAGTGTCACGCTGAGCTCGTAGCAGGGCCGGAGGGAGGGATGGGGCTCACCATCTCGGACATGATCTCGAGGCTCGTCGAGCCGAACGCGAGGGTCATGACGAAGGCGAAGAGGAACGCGGCGTTGATGAGACCGCTCTCGAGGATGATGCGTATCACGGGGGTCAGCTTGTGCTCGCTGCCTTCGAGGTCGAGCGCGTGCGTTCCTGTCCTGTCTGTGTACCATATGCGAATTGCAAGCAGTGCTGTGGGTTGCCGTCAATTAGCAAACCTTCGCAGGACCGTATACTCTGTTATACGGGAATTGACGCACATGTCGCTAGGGCATTGGCCACAAGACTCGCGGAGAAGAAGAGCTTCAAGGGCTGCTGCTGAGCGAAGATGCTTTGATGAGTGAGGTGGGTATAACCCCAGAGAGCGTAGTATCCCGAGCCTGGAGTCGGAGTATGCGGCGTCAGTGAAGGACTCGAGACGCCCACAGCGAGAACGCCTCACCAGCTGCGAGGATCGAGAGTGCGACGGGCAGGACAACAACCCAGATATTCTTGCCCCAGACAACCCAACACCTGTAGTTCTGCGGGTCCGGAAAGTGAGTAACATGGTGTGCAGAGCTGAGTGACGAGGAACGACATACCACGAAGAGATCTCCGACTAGCAGAGAAGTGATGAATAGGGCGTGTTTTGTGATGAAGATCTGCGCCGTGACGTCCTGGAGGAACGCGAGCCGGGCTTCGCGTGTTTCGTTGTAAATGAACGCGATAAAGAGATAGGTGACGTCTACGACGAAGCGGGCCGTTGCAAGGATGACGAGGAGAATGCCGGCGACAAGCATCGGCCAGCTGATCTGCGTCTCTCCGGTAGATCGTCGGCGGTACAGATCGTACCCGCACACCCCGAAGAGACAGAGGAAGATACCTATTCAATGACAAGCGGGAGACGTCAGCGCAAGAGACATCAACCTTGGGTGTCCGAACTCACCATACAGGGGGCCCTCAATTGCCAGCCCAGAGAGCTCGGAGGAGTCGATGAGGATAGCCATGCTCTCAGAGTGGCAGGGATCGAGAGATGGACTGGGGGAACCGAAGGGACAGTCATCGCTGCTGTGGACATACTTATCACCTGGCAAACTTTACTGGCGTTCGCAGTCTGTCCCACGATGAAGTCCTTGCTGATCAGACAACAGACAGAAGCTTGCTCTTGAAGGATGGCGTGGGCGAAGTGAGATGATTTGGGGCGGATAGCTGTTGATCACGAACATCACGGGTGTGATTAACTACGCAGTACATCCGCGTATCTGGTTTTAGCTTCCCGACGGCTGCAATGAACTGTGTATCATGTCAGTGGGAATGTCATAGCCAGACGTCGGAACAAAATAGCAGACCTACCGTACGGCGCAGCGTCGCACGAGGAGCATCCCCTGAAGTTGTTACGATAGCGCGATCGGTTATTCGCAAAGCGATCACGGGCACATGGACAGTACTCGGTCCCGATGTCCTGAGGGAGACCAACACTCCGGTATGCAAACTAGAGATTACACTGCGTGTTCCCTAAGGTGGAGAAGGGTAGCGAAGTTGCCTGACTTTCTGTCGAGGGCTCGGAGTGTAACCTGGTTTGGCTCAGACTGTGTGGATGGATAATACTCGCAGTGAGAAATTGTCAATGACGCCAGCTTCATGGCCCCGGCACTCACCTACTAGGATGTTGCCAACTATCACCGCGCCGACAATAGCATTGAACGAAGATGGAGGAGTTAGCGCCGAGGGCATTCGTTACTGGTAAATCAACCGAGTATGGCTCCAATTGAGCTTGAAGGTGCCGAATTAATAGGGACTACGACATGGAGAGGGAGAGGAAGCTGTGAGTAGAGCACAAGAGAGGCGTGATCCGCATAAGCGTGGCAACGAAGGGAAGGCTCAGAGGTAGGCTCCCGCTTTCCTTCCCTCGTGAAGGAAAAGGAGTTACACCTCTCATGACCACCGCAGGGGTCGAACCTGCAATCTCCTGATAACTTAACCCTGAGAAGGATCGTAGTCAGACGCGTTGCCATTACGCCAGGCGGCCTATACATGTCTGTTATTGCAAATATATATAATAAGCGAAAGACTCGGGAGTTTAACAAAAATGCGGCACAAAATAGCGTACGATTCGTCTCCGCCAGGATGACAGAAAACGCCGGTGTCAGGGCGCAAACGAACCCATGCAACGTCTCGAGATAAGTTCACACATGTATCCATCATGTTCAGCATCGTACTCCCCTCTAGCGTATCCCTCAGTCATCTGCAGCTACCGCGTAATATCTTCAACCCTGCACACTAGCCCCGTATCGAGCGTAGGAGAATGCAGTCAAGACTCAACGGAGAACATCGTCGAGCAAGATCTGACCAACAACTTCATATCAGCACGTATGACAGACATGCCTAGTCAGGAGAGAACACATACCTTGGACAGACGAAGCTCAACTTCTGCGAAGAAGAGCTCGGAGAAGCGGCGCATGTGTCTGAACACCTTGTTCCTGCACGTGCTACAGGTGACGGCTTCCTTCATCGGCTCCTCAGTCAACTTCGGATCGCGAATGGCGTCCAGCGCGGGCGTAGCGTGAAGCAAGGTGCCCAGCTTGTCCCAATGTGCTCGGAACCACGCTGCCTCCTTACATTCTGGAACACATTTGCCGTCACCACACCGATGTTTGCGACAGCTAGAGCAGGTGAGCCAAATCCATGCATCGGGATCGGGGAAGTAGGTGCGTAGAGGTGTCGCGATGAGGTCTTTCAGGGTCGCGGCACAGCGGTTGCGATACATCAGGAGTCGATGGTACTCGGTACCACTGACACCGTCCAGCTCGCTGGCGTACGCCCACATGTCGGGAAGCATGAGGAAGTCGCGTGCGGCGTCCTCCATGAGCGTGGTCATGCCATATCTAGCTGCGAAGGCATAGACGTGTACCGGCTGGGTGCGGCTGAAGTGCTGCAAACGCGGACGGACGAGTTCAAGAGCGTGATCAATATGGTACTTGTGAGCTGCCACGAGGACGGGCTTGACGCTGTCGAAGGTGAGGAACGTGGGGGAGACAGAGAGTGGGTAGCAGAGCTTGAGGAGCTGCTCGAGCGTGTTGCCATCCTCTGATACGGGAATGACGGGCGGCGTGTTGTCTGAAGGAGGAGGTTTGGCGTCTGGTAGAGCACCATCGGCGACCTGGATGGACCCATGATCGGTAGCTGGAGGCTGGGGGACATCGAACATATCCGCGAAGACGGTGGATGCGTCTTTCAAAACCCACTTGTTGACGTATAGTTCCAACCCATCTGACGAGCGAAGGATAACGTCTTCAGAGGGCCTGTTGAAGGGCGACACCGTGGTGCGGTTCGTTTTCTCAGCCACTACGGGAAGGCGATCAGCAAGTCGACCCGTCGTTTCAAAAGGTGCAATCAGAGCACTCACTGGTCGCGCTGGAGCAAAAGAGAGGTGTGGGTGACTCTGCTGCAGCACACCCTTCGTTATATACTCGAAGACGGTCCGTTCCTTCCCGGGCATGAGGCAGACGGCTGGATGTACCGAAATGAGCAGGCGCATGGCCTACCGCAGCACGTATACACGATGTAAGCTAGGCATCCCAAAGCACAAGCATTGAGCTGCACCTGCATGATTTGGTCAAACGGCTATCAGTCGTTCATCGGAATATGGTCGAGAAATTCACCAACCTGAACCTTAGCTCCCCCAACGACAGCTTATGCACACGACAACGGCCCTCCGGCATAGATGTGGAAGACCTAGTTGAAGTCTTATGGCATAGGAACTGGCACGTCGTGAGCACTGACAAGACGTCTCGAGCAATCAACATTGTAACTTGGAGATGATGCTCGCCTAGGAGTGGTTGTAGAGGACCAAGTCTAGCATGCTACAAGTCTGCACTCGCAACAGTGCAGTATAAGCGGGGGTGAAGTCCGAGGAGAGCAAGAACCGCAAAACTGACGCGGTGACACTGACCGGCGCTGAGTGGCGACGCGACGGTCACGTGCTCTAGTTGAAACCGCGCGAGCGGGAGAGACGCCCATGCTGCCTTGCCACAAACCACTGCTTGACCTCCTCCTAGTTATCCGGAACACAAGCTAGATCTAGCTCGAGGAGACGCAGAAAGAGGAGGCATACACGCAGGACGCAGTGAGTCGCTAAATTAGTCGTACAGTGACGGTATGGCCGCACGATACTGATTCAATCTTTCAAACAGTAACATCCAACACCAGACAATATGGCTGCATACCTGGAGACGCCATCGCGGGTATGGCGTCGAATACAAGCAGATCAAGACCGTGACATGCCCTCTCTACCCTCCCTCCCAGGATTCGACGATTCCGCTGCCCCACATGATGAAAGCACGCAAGAGTCCAGCGAGGAGGACATGCAGATTGCCTCGCCCGTGCACTCTACCCCCGTTGTCCTGTCCCACGTCGCATCAACAGTACGTGCCCCTTCCAGTACCTCTAGCACTGCTCGTTTTGCACGATCCCTTGCCTCCCGATCATCCAAATCCTCTCTGTATGCCTCGAGAGGCTTTTCCTCAACCAGCCGGCACCACGTAGAAGAGAGCTTCGACATCAGCGCTATCCCTAGTGTGCCCATCTATCGAGATGACAGTGGTGAGATCGACATCCGGAGTAGCGACCAGGACACCGAGAGTTCCGTTCCAGAAGTATACCTCCCTCCCCCGCCGGACGGCAACGTGGACGCGGACCTGGACTTGTCCGATGCGCTGCAATCCGTGAGCCGTTCCAACTCTCCAGGCCTGGACGATAGGCAGACACCTCGCAAGAAGTCGGATTACGACTTTTCTATGAGCTTGCGGTCAGAACCCAAGGTGCATCCTGATCCAAGTCTGACTCCTCGTACGAAAACTGACTCAATCATAGCCCTCCCCATTTGACAAGATGCGCAACGTCTCGTTCCGACGGCCGCTGTCCAGGACAAGAACCCCCTCTCTTACTCGCACGCTCTCCTCCCCTTCGTCTTCCGTTTCGAACTCGACTCCCCAGAGCACTCGGTCGGTCCGCTACCAACGGGCAGAGTCTGATCCCCCACTTGCTGCGTTGACAGTCCCACTCCCCAGGTCTGCAACAGCATCGCCTGCGATTCCAGCCCATGTCGAAGAGCGCGACCTTACCCAGATGAGCGTGAGCTCGGAGCTACCTAGCCCAGATCTTCCCGACGAAGCCGAGGACACGGAGCTCCTGCCCGAGGTGGCTGCTGAGAGGGAGCTCGAGCAGAGCGGACTAGAGCGCAGTCGCGCCAACAGGAGCGACGGGCAGGCGTCCCGAGAGCCGACGTTCTCCTCCGAGGAGGCGCAATCACTGAATGAGAGCGGGAGTGCTAACGGCTCACGCAGGATGCGGTCTCCGACTCCACTGTCCGTTGCATTCTCATCGCCTGTTTCAGCCATGTTTACTCCTACTCCGGCATTCCAGCCTCGCCCGCGAGCTCGCTTTGGCGCCGCGATGCCGTCTACCACCCCTCAGTTCCCGACTGCCACTCCTGGGCAGCAGACCGTGCACTTCGAGACCGACGCGGAGGAGACACCTCGAGCCCGTTTCGAGGAAGCCGAGACAGACGAGGAGCACCCGGACAACGAGGACCCTGCCACTCCTCACACCCACAAACGTTCCTTCCTTCTGTCGGTCATCAACTCGACGGCCCGGCCGCGCCTCAGACACCCCACTCCATATCATCGCAACGGCGATGACGGCGACGAGTCGGAAGCAGCAGTCGAGATGACGCCTGCAGCGACCCCAGGGGTCAACCTACGCAAGGCTTTCGCAGGAGTCACGCCACGGCCGGCACCGCGTCCGCGGCTCTCTCATCCTCTCCCACAGACATACAACGGCACCTCCGACTCGGGCTCGGAGTCGCCGTACGACCACGCGATGGACCGCGCATCGTTCGTGTCAACCGCGTCCTCGCACGACCTAACGACACACGCACGCGCGAACGCATCCTTCGACCCGGTGATGGGTCTCGGCGAGCGCGGGCACGGTGTAGGTCGTTTCAACGCTGGGAAGCTCAATTCATATCTCCATGGGCTGAACCGGCGCTTGCAGGAGGAGAACGAGATGTTGGTCGGCCAGCTGCGCGCGATGCAGGAGAAGTACGGCAGCGAGGCGGGAGGGTCGCCTGCGTCGGACTCGGATCGTGCAGGATCATCTTATGGCAGACGTGTGAGCGGTGGACGGAGGGTCAGTGCTGGTCCTGCGCTGGGGCTGGGTGATGTCGTCGAGGAGGTTAATGAGACCTGGCTCGAGGAGAAGGCAGCGCTGGAGGAAATGGTCGAGGAGCTGAAGGATGAACTCGAGACGTGCACAGCCGACAAGGCGAAGGCCGAGGAAGCTCTTGAAGCCGAGCGGGCAGAACGCGCGCGGGACAAAGAACGCTGGCGGGAGCGCATGGCTGAGGTGGAGAAGGGCGTGGAAGGCATCGTCACCGACTTGGAGAGGCGACTCGTCGAGGCCGAAGACGCTGTCAAGCGTGTTGAGGCAGACAAGGTGGAGGGCATCAAGGACGCGGAACGACGATTGGCCGTCGTGATGGTCGAGAAGGATGTCCTGGCCGAGCGGATCAAGAAGGCGGAGGGTGCTCTCGAGAGCGGTCGCGAGCTCGGCGCTGAGCTCAACGAGGCCAATGAACGACTTGCCAAGACTGAGGGCGAATTGCAAAACGCCCATCGTGAGATCAAGGAGCTCGAGACCGAGGTTATGCACGCGCACGAGCGACTCGACGAGGTGGAGAGCAGTCTTGCCGCGGAGCGGAAGCGCACGGCTGCCCTAGATGAAGAATTGCATGCGAAGATGGAGGAGCTGACCGAGACGGTTCATTGCGTCGACGAGCTCGAGGAGGAGGTTCGCAAGACGCGTGCGCAGCTTCGTCAAGCCGAAGAGGCACTTTCTCAGAACGATAGCGATGCTGCGGCTGATGGGGCGCGCATTGAGGATCTCGAGCGGCAGCTCGCTGCTGCACAAGAGAACATCAATCACCTGGAGGCCGAGATCGAGGAAGAGAGGCAGGAGAACGACCGTCTC